CGCACGCACGCACACACACACACACAAACACACATGAGTCTGCATTGTCTGGTCTCTCACAAATGCATGTCTATGAAGTCAACTAATTCAGGGCATCTGTCAGGATATGAATATATCCTAAATACTGCAGTATGCACAGACAAGAGCGTATTTCTGTGGAGAAAGTGGGATGTCGAGGCATACAGAATTTAGCTTGGAGGATGAGATCTTCTGGATCTCCTCCAGATTGCTGGCAAGCAGACACACACACAAACAAACAGAGGGGCCAGGCTAGCACCAGGGGGCATCATTAACTCATTAGTGGAATTTAAGACAGTCAAGCACCAGTGCCTTCACACACACACACACACACACACACACGCACAGGCAGACATATATGTCCCTACACATGACAGCATATGTGGCGGAGGGCCAATTTCATCAGACTGACATTTATAATTAAAATATCTCAAGATAAGTGGATGACAAGGCTGCCAATTAAGCATTTTCTGTAGTATCTGTGGGAAAGAATACAGTCAGTGCCTTGCAAAAGTATTAACCCCCCCCCCCCCCCCCCCCACAATAATGTTGATTTTTCAAATGTTACCACTTACAGTATGTTGTCATGCTGATAACATTGAAAAATGTAACAAAGAAACTTTACGAAATTTTAATAATATAAAATAGAAGCTCTCACAAGAATTCTTTGAGCAGATAGTGAAAAAAAAATCTTAAAAAAAATATTTTCAGAAAAGACATGAGTCCAGAAACAAGATGTTGCTTGGTTGCTTTTGTTTTTCTTAGTTGTGGAAGCAAGTGTGAAAGGTCCTGGTGTGGTATGTGGTGATTTTGCTATGTGTGCCCTGTTAGTGGGGTCAGAGGTTGGGAACGTGCCCTGTTAGCCCCTCGACCAGTCTGGCCCCAAAATCTGCCAAGGGATTCTGGGAGCCCGGAGTATTTATGACCAGTCCTAGCTAACCTCTGCTACCCAAAACCCCTCAGAGGCTCCCCCACAACCCTCACCTATAACACACATTCAACACCAGATTTTACCCCTTTTTGTTGTTTGTTTGTTTTTTGGGTAGATTTTTTTTTTTTTGGGATTGCATATTTGACGATGAATCCAATAGATACAGAAAGTGAATATCAGCACATCATGATTGTAGGCAGTTCTGTAATGAACAAATGGCTCAACCTCTGTTGTTGTTTTGGGTTGAAGGTAATGTTGTTGTGATATAAAGTGAATCTCTGTGTAGACAAGCGGCTGTTCTCACACACATGTGGCATTCAGTCGTTGATGTATTGCTGCTCAAACATTTCAGCATGTCAGTGATTCGATGCTGCACATCTGGTTTCCTAATTTTCCTCCCCCTCTCCCTCTGTGTCCTGACACTGTTGTGTTTTTGTAAGACGGAGCGGGACGGAGGTGAGATGGACAAGAGGAAATACTGATGAGTGATGGTTCTGAATCTGCTTCTCAGCCTTTGTTTCTGTATGTGGTCAACAGGCTGTCCAGTAATGAATATTACTCACTATTCAAGTGTTAAATATCAAATATACTCAGCTTTCTTCTAAAGTGTGACGATACCAACTTCTAGGCATCTCAATAACATTTCTTAGAGTTTCTTAGAATCCTCAAAGAAATGGCAAGATGATTCAAAATGATCAGAATTTAATGTTTGTAAATGCCTACTCATTCATTAATGCATATTTCTTTTTTGTATATAATTATAGTAATAGTAATCAAACTATGGCATATTTTATTTGGGATGTTTGGAATTCTTAATATTTTACAATAATATAATATATAAGAATATAATATTTTGCAATATTACTGTTTTTATTTTTGATCAAATATATATACAGTATA